TGAAAGCGTAGCCTCGCTGGCCCACTCAGACCAGCTGTGTGGGAATCTGTGACCCCACAGATCCTGGGGTGTTGAGTGCATACTCAGCAAGCCAGGGAGAAGGCTGCTCCTGGATTGCTAGCTACGCACGGAAGGCTGAAGGCCTGGGCCGTGTGGACAGATATGGCCTTGGCTCCTAGTCCCATCACGGACTGGCTGTGTGGTTTTGGGCAAGTTGCTGGCAGAGTCCCGGTCTTCATCTCAGGATCTGAGACGCAGAATAGGCGCCTCTATGCAGAGGCAGTATGGGCCGAGGCAGGGCAGGCCCAGCGGGACCACCGGGAGCTCCCCACGGGGCAGCTACCCCTTGTCCCATTTTGGGAGAAAAGGGCTCCCTTTGGAGCTGAACCAGGGACAGTTACTGCTCAGAACCAGACCAGACTTCCTAATAACAGCCTTGACGATGATAAACCAAACCGCAGCTTCCCCTGGCTGTTTTCAAGATCCTGGAAATCCCGCGTGGGATCAGCTTTCTCTGGTGTGTGTGTGTGTGTGTGTGTGTGTGTGTTTTCCATTTAGAGCTGGGGCCCTGCCACATGTCCTTAAGACTGATGGAAGACCTTCCAGAGTGAGCAGGCACAAAGTGCCTGGACCACAGGGGCTGTGAGGAGTCTGTGGGGGGGGGGGCAGTATCTCCCGACAGGTGTGCAGGGATGATTTCCTCTGCAGGGCAGGCCTCTGTGCACAAAGGTTCAGCCTACACGCAGGAGACTCTGGGCCCTCTGTTCCCTACCAGGCTCTAACGTGCCAGTCCTCGGGCCCTGGCAAGGAGGGGTGGATAGGAGAGCCCCTGACCTGCTGACTGGGCTGGGTTCTCCCCCAGGCTGGCCCGAGCTTCCTCCCGGGCAGATGGTCTAAGAGTTGAGCAGATGAAGACGGGTCCCACCTCGCCGAACAATGTGTGTGTCAGCAGAATTCTTTTCTGCATTTTATTGCCTTGGAGAGACATATGCTGACTGGGTCGAAATCGCTCAGGCAAGATGGGACAAATGATGAAGGAAATGAAAATGTCTTGCCCAGCAAGAGGAGGCCAGCGGGCGAGGGGTGCTGACACCGGCTGGGCTGCCCCACACAATAACACCCTCACAATCCCCGTGTCTTTGTCCAGGCGG